CTGACTGGTGTTATCTAAAACCTGCAGGACACCGCCCCTCGAGGTCTGGAGTTCGACACCCCTGGTCTATACTGTTGATTGAAAGTTTTGGGGTTTTTTTTAAGGTTACATAGTTAACTCATTCACTGCCAGCCATTGGCAGTGAATGAGTTAAACCCATTGACTCATTCACTGCCATTGACGGCTATAGACGTCAATGGCAGTGAATGAGTTAATAAATCATTTACCATTGTCGCATTAAAATAAACACTGTGAGGCACTGTGTTTATAAGAGTTTTAATTAGTTAATGAATTTTATTCTGTGTTTTCCACCAGGGGAAAACTCCAACAGCCAAAGTCGCTGTAAAATGTTTTGAATAGTTCATAACATTTTCAGTGGTCATTGAAAACAAAGGCAAGCTCAATTTCCCTTGATGGAGGAATTTGGATATATCGCTTAACATAAAAAATCAAGAAGTGAAACTTTGAGTGGAAGCGAAAGCACAGGAGAAAAAGAAGACTCCGAAGTTAGATCGTAACCTAATGATCCAGAATAAACCCGTGTCTCAGCCTCTAAACCAGTGTTTTAGAAGTTCATCCCTAAATTCTCAGTAAGCTTGTTTTTCAACTCTTGTATATCATTGGATGTTCATACCTGGGTGCATAACAGCCACTAGAACAAGATGTACAGTCCAACACGGAATAGAACAGCAAGAGCTGAACTAACTTCAGTTCAGGCAGCGCAAGATGCCCTTCGACCAACACAAGATGCTGTACAGTTCTTTCAGCCAACACAAGATGCTGTTCAGCCCCTTCGACCAACACAAGATGCCGTACAGTTCTTTCAGCCAACACAAGATGCTGTTCGGTTCCTTCCACCAACACAAGATGCCGTTTGGGCCCATCGACCAACACAAGATGCCGTTAGGGCTTTTCAGCCAAGACAAGATACCGTACAGTTCCTTCGACCAACACAAGATGCCGTTCGGTTCCTTCGACCAACACAAGATGCCGTTCGGGCCCATCGACGAACACAAGATGCCGTTAGGGCTTTTCAGCCAAGACAAGATACCGTTCAGTTCCTTCGACCAACACAAGATGGCCTTCAGGCCCTTCAAACAACACAAGACGCCCTTCAGGTAAAACAAGATGCCCTTCGGGCAACGCAAGATGCACTTCGGGCAACACAAGACGCCCTTCGGGCAACACAAGATACCTTTCGGGCAAAACGAGATGACCTTCGGGTCCTTCAGGCAACACAAGATAACCTTCGGCTCCTTCAGGTAACACAAGATGACCTTCGGGCAAAACAAGACGCCCTTCGGGCCCTTCAGGTAAAACAAGATGCCCTTCAGGCACAACAAGATGCCCTTCAGGCAAAACAAAATGCCATTCATGCAAAGCAAGATGCACTTCGGGCCCTCGAGGCAAAACAACATGCCTCTCAGGTCCTTCAGGCAAAACAAGAAGCCATTCGGGCAACACAAGAGGCCCTTCAGGCGAAACAAGATTCTCTTCAGGCAACACAAGATGCCCTTCAGGCGAAACAAGATTCTCTTCAGGCAACACAAGATGCCCTTCAGGCGAAACAAGATTCTCTTCGGGCAACACAAGATGCCCTTCAGGCGAAACAAGATTCTCTTCGGGCAACACAAGATGCCCTTCAGGCGAAACAAGATTCTCTTCGGGCAACACAACATGCCCTTCATGCAGCACAAGATGCCCTTCGGGCAACAGAACATGCCCTTCAGGCGACACAAGATGCCCTTGGGTCAAGACCAGATATCCGTCAGCCTCTTCAGGCAACACGAGATGGTCTTAATGACACTTGTTCACCTTTTGTTGACGAATCAGCAGCAGGTAGCAGTTCTGACTATGAAGAAGTCATGAAACGCATTAATATGGAGTCTGAAACTGTGTTGGATGATGATTAAATAAACTTTAATGAAAATCTGCTCCACTCTCAGCTTATCCTCTTTCACTTCTCCAGTAATTTCAGTGGGCCCTGGAGGACATCCTGCCTCTTGCCTTGTTCTCACAGCATGGTCTCACTGAGCAAAATACCCTGTGCAAACAACGTCGCACAAGTAAACAGCTCACCTGATATGCTGTTAAAGGTCTTCACACCTGTTATTAATGATGATTTTTAATGATGAAACCTGCCTGTACCAGTGCAGTGTGACCGGCCTGGTCTTTTTAATGAAGGCAGAAGGAGACGTGGTTCACAGGACTGTCCCTTGGAACAGGAGGCTGCTGGCCCAACACCACA